TATATATATATATATATATATATATATATATATATATATATATATATATATAATCATATATATCATATATATCATATATACATATCACACACACACACACACACATGCGACATTACATTTGTAATCAATATTAACCCGAAAAACTCACATCATTCTCTAAATTTAAATCTGAGATTCATGTTAATAGTTCACTGAGAAAAAGATATTTGAAAATTTATTTGTGTGAGATTAAAATTTATTTTATAGAAACAAACTTTATTTTGCAAAAATAAACTTTATATCCCACAAATAAATTTTCAAGTATTTTTTCTCACTGTCATCTAAAATTTATCTCATGTGAAATACTTAGATCCTTATTCTGAACTCTCTCTTTTATCTTTTTTATTAATAAAAGTGTCTGAGTGTGACTGAAAACTAATTAGAAGTCACATTTAGAGACATTTATTGATCAAGGAGAGTTAAGAGCTTTTGATTTTATTGTTCAGTTACATTCTTTTTTTAGTTGAATTATGACATGTGACATTTATATATATGACATTTTGAATCGCGATTCAACTGAAAAACTCGCATCTAACTCTGAATTAAAATCTAAATATTTCACTTGAAACAATTTTCAAGTAACAACTATTAACGCTCGAATATTTCACTTGAATCAAGTTTCAAGTAATTATTATTAATATTAATACAGATCTTAGTCTTGTTTCTCTCATTAACGTCATCGTTTCATTAACGTCATCATTCCGGAAGCTATACCTAGACGTTTGTCCACTGTGGTGGAAACTTAAAAATTCAAAATTAACAATATAAATACGTTATGATGTAAAATTTTGCAGTAATAAAGACTCAAAATTAACAATATAAATGCGTTATGGTGTGAAATGTTAATAAATGGTGTGTGGTAATAAAAACTTATAATGCATAATATAACAGATATTATCATTCATTCTCAGACAACCGTTTAATGCGACGCGCATTAACGCCAGTGATATCGAGAGCAGAGTGAGACAATTACACAAAGAGAATGGCTGTTCCAATGGATGGTTATGTTGGAACGGCGCTAGCGGAAGTGACGAAGGTGGAGCTGGTCGCGGCAAAGGTAAAGCTGGCTTCTGGGAGGAATTCGAATCGCTTCAACAAGTAGAGTGCCGACATCTCTTTTCGAGAAAAGAAGGTTTACGTAGTGAAAATCGCTCAAAGAATCGTTACAAGAATATTCTGCCGTTCGATCACACGAGGGTGCGACTGAAAGACGTAGATCCGAACACCTCTGGAGCTGATTACATTAACGCTAATTACATAAGGGTAAAGTTTCTTTCTCGATGTCTGCAGAGTGTCGCAGGAATCGTCGAATATTCTTATAAGTGCGGTTTTCTCTCATTATTTTGAAAAAAAGGACTTCTGACTGAATTTAAAATTAATTTGAATAGACCATTATTCTCATTGAAAAATTACTGAGAAAAAATAATGAGTTGATTCGAGAATCTAAAAGTACATTAGATGGTTCTGGGGCATTCTGCGTCGTCACAAATTTATTTACCTTTATCAAATACATAGTAAGATCTTTTTGCAGAACGAGGAAGGTGACGCGACGAGCACCGGTGGCAGTAATGAACCTGCACCGTTGGGCAAATATTACATAGCAACGCAAGGCTGCCTCCCGAACACCCTTGGGGATTTTTGGCACATGGTCTACCAAGAGAACACCCGCGTGATCGTCATGACCACGAAGGAGATGGAGAGAGGAAAGGTACATGCGCTCTAAGATACGAAACTGTAAGCTCTGTTGTTGGTAAACGGGGAGTCTAAATGAGACGTGACTTTTTAGAACAAGTGCGCGCGTTACTGGCCGGAAGAAGATGAAATCGCCGAGTACGGTAATGAGTGGAAAGTGCGCGCCATGTCGCAAACCTCGACCTCCGATTACACTCTACGCGAATTTCTCCTGCAGGGAACCAAGCCGGACTTTTCCGAATCCAGAAGAATTTATCATTATCATTTCCAAGTATTTCATTTATTATTATACTATTTCCAAGTATTTAATTTCTATAAGGATTTCTAGATAATATCTATAGTTAGAGATTTCAAAAATTTATTTAATAAAAGTACATGAGAATATAATTGCATACCTGATTCATACAGGCATGGCCCGATCATGGTGTCCCGTCAGATCCTGGCTGTGTGCTGAATTTTTTACACGACGTAAATGCCAAGCAAGAATCTATCGCAATATCCTTGGCTTCTGATAATGAGAACGTACTGTGCATAGGGCCGGTTCTTGTTCACTGTAGCGCAGGAATCGGCAGAACCGGCACATTCATCGTCATTGACATGATCCTAGATCAAATTAAACGTCGTGGTGAGTAAAATGAAATCGACTTAAAAGCTGTTTTATCGAAATAAAATGGTGACTGAAGCAATTGCTGTCAAGTATCGTACACACTCAAAGTAAAGAAACATGTCTAAATGTATTACTCGATTTTCTTATATTCAGGATTGGATTGCGAAATTGACATTCAACGCACGATACAGCGAGTACGTTCACAGAGATCGGGGATGGTTCAGACAGAGGCGCAATACAAATTTGTATATCTCGCCGTTCTGCATTACATTGAGACAGTATCACAGCGAATGCAGGCGGAACAGGTGAGCGTGTCCGCTATTACTTTTTCTTTCTTTCTCAACTAGTATTTTAACGTCGTTGACCGACTCGTCTGATTCTTTGCAGAAATCACTTCAACTAGGCAGAGAATACACGAACATTCGTTACAAGAGTGAAGCGAACGTTTCTGTCAACGCTATCGTAAGCGAGACCTCCACTCCCACGTGCACACCGACGACCCTTCCAACATTGTCCACGTCTACCAATAACTTGAGGCCAAAGTGATTTCCGTTTAGTGATTTCGGTTCAGTCGGTTCCACAAACACTCGGGAAAGCAAAGAAGAGGCTTCGTTACTCTCTCACTCACCCTCTTTCTCTTTCCCTTTTTATCTCTCTAACTTCTGCATCTCCCTGTCATCGTAGGTGATAGAAGAAGAAGAACGTAACTTGCTGCGACATACTCCATTTACAAGAATCCATTCTCGCCAACGACAATTCAGTTTCACTCTTGTTAAATACACTTATTTTTATCGAACATACTTATGGCGCATTTTTTTAACAGTTGGATTGTGAGTAACTATACGCATAGATATATATACATAAGTTGAAATAAAAAAGGGAAAAAGCCCTGTATTTCCAGCGATTCACAGTCTGGTACATTGATGCAAACGATGAAGTACTGAAGAAAATCCTTGTCCCTTTTGTACTTTCCAACTATATTTTCTATTTTTTTTTTCTATACATGCACACATCTTTTTTTAAGATATATGAATCTTATTTCAAGGTCTTTTTTAATCATATTTTTTATGTCTAGAAATTAAAGTTATTTAAGTACAAAAGTATAATAAAAACACATGGTTATCATTGTTTTATCATATTGTTTAGTAGAGTATATCGGTCATCCATCAAGATGTATGCTCCTATATTATGCTTATAAGAGAAAAAAAACAAGAAAGGAAAAACTTACAGAAAATGCAACAAAACGAATTTTACTATAGCATCGTTTTTGTTACATTTTTGCAATGAAATAAAATAAATCTAAATCTTCCGTTTAGAGGGAAATATAGAAAGTGTAACTGTGACGCACCTACACCTGTATCGCTACACCTTCGTATAAGGGCGATCATCCTCCAGGAGCGCTTACGCGTGCGCGCGTCTTTCGAAGTCAGGACGTTTCTTTCGCAGCGATTCGACACCTTCGCATTGTATTCGGCGAACCTTCGATCTCGTGCCTTCTCTGATCATATCTCCGTATATTTTATATTCTTGTTTTTATAATAATAAACGTCTGTGGCTTCTTAAACGAACGCGCGAAAATATGCGAGATAAATTTAAACGACGATACGTGATTGCAAATCGCGAATGTGTGTTGCGCAAATTCCATACGAACGAATGACGTGGATTTATCTCGTTTGTCAGAACATTCGCGAGTGTGCGAGAAATTGTAATTAATAACTATGGCGAAGTTCTTGGCAACGGTCAAGGCAATAATTACACGTCTAGTGTTTGCATCGCACGGATTCATCGCTATCTGGCAAGTCACGACTTTCAAGAAGAATCCGTTTTTCTGGTACCTCTGTTGTCCTATTCTTCTGCTGTTCTTCGAGGGCATCTTCACACTCACTATAAAAGAGAATCAAGAGTGGAAATGGTACGTCAAGTATTCGTACAGACATTACTACGCACCAGAGAATTACGCACTGCACTTGCAAGAAATACAGATTGTTTAAAAAAAGATGTAAATACTTATATATGGAGAGTTTGCTTTAAAAAAATGTTAATATTTACATGGAAGTAACTTTTTTAACATTTTTTTGAAGCACTTTGTATAGAATTAAAAATTTAATTCTTTCACTGAAACGAAAGAAAAAGAATAGGAAAGAAATATAGGATCATTATTTATTATTTCTTTTCTTTTTCTAAGTATAATAAGAAAAAATAATAACGTCCAAGTAATTAATTTTGAAAGCTTAACTTCTAAAGTAAGTTATCGTATTAATGTGATTTTAATTTACAAATTTTAATTAACAATTATTTAAATATTTAAGTTCCATGATTGTATGAGAAATATAATTGTGGAATATGTGATTTACTGAAATTGTTTATTTGCTTAGTAATAGTTCTAAATTGTTTAATTTCTTATGATTTTGTTGTAAGATCTCCCAGAAAGGTTCTTAAGACGTAGGGACGTCCTCGGAACGTCTCCTGGAGGTCTGTGCTGTTTAGGATGTTACAGACAATGGCAATTTAAAACAGATGTGTGTAATTATGTGAGTGCAAATTAAGAGAATTGCATTATTTTTTTTCTATCATTCAGTCCTAATGGCCACTGTGTATAGCAAACATTGCTATATACAGCGATGACGTTGCGTTAGATACAGGACTGTCACTGCGAAGATTAGTGCAAGGGGATGCCGCGCGGGAAGGGTGTGTATGTTGTGAGACCGTCTCGGTTTGACAGACGGAAATTGGAGCATTAGTAACACGAGCGCGTCAGCGAGTCAGAATCCACTTTGTTCGAGTCGCGAGCCGGATAAAAAATTATTGACTTCTGTCGGAGCAAGCCGTGACCTGATTTCGCGGTATCGCTTACCTGACTCATCGATCAATTTGCTGCTAGGTATACCGTAAGATGCAATCGCAGGATATATCCTCGATAATCTCGATACGAAAGAATAATGCTAGCACTCACGATTGAACGCGAATATATATTGCTTTGATGAAATCGCGGAACCGTAAAATATTAAATAAGAGAATAATATAGATTTGATATAATTAACTTTTCATATTTTTTAAATGAATTAAGTTAACTTTCTTTAATGGATGTGCTTCGTGAGACAGTTCGTCGTTTATTGGAATGGAAATTGTGACAACTTACATTTTTTCAGGTTCTGCCCGTCCGTCTTTTTGTATCTTAGCAGTGTAGTGCCCGCGATTTGGTTGTTGGAGCTGGATAAGGTGGAGAGAAGGTTGAAATCCCGCGAGTCGGGTATCAATATATCGGAGAACTTCGATCTATCCAATTTGGCAGCCGGCGACTTGAAACATTTGGAGAAAGCTCTAGGCGTGCGTGTGATTTTATGACGATTACTGGCTAGATAAGAAACAAGAATATTTTAATAACTAGAATACTAAATAAGAGACAGGAATATCTCAATAACAATTTACAAATTTAACAATTGTAATAAATTTGCAGAAAAAAATAAATCGCAGAGAAGCTGCATATTTTGGTAATAATAATACGTTATATCACAAAGTTATATCTGATAATTGTATTTTAATAATCCTTTATATGTCGAAAATCCAATGCTAATTAATGCACATTAATTACAGATATTAATTAATTAATTTGTTAATAATATCAGTGCTGTTACATTTATTTATATATAATTAATTAATTAATTAATGTCAGTGCCGCTGCAAATAGTCATTAATTAGCAATGAAAAATTCATCAGAGATTTACTTACTTCAAATCCGACTTCGGTTCTTCAGGTTGATATTCAGCTACCGGACATACAGATTTCCACGGAAACGTGGGTCACCCTGATCGAACAGTTCCTGATGCTGATCCTGATAATCGGCCGTTGGATGTTGCCAAAGGGCGATCTCACTCGCGATCAGCTCAGCCAACTCTTGTTGGTCTACATCGGTACCGCCGCTGACATCATCGAGTTCTTCGATTCCTTCAAAGAGGACAAGATAGCGCGGGAGCCCGTGCTCGTGTACCTGACCTTAGGCATTTGGGCATGGTCCTTGATGCAGTTCACGGTCGTGTTGACCGCCACCAAGTCGAGAAAGTCTCGTTTGTCGTCTGGAAGCGTCGCCAGGAAGAAGGTCCGCACACAGACCAGCTGCTGCAGCATCGACGTGTGGGGAATCGCCTTGAACATGATTCTCCAGGTATGCTCGCGAACGGCAACCTGAAATAAATCAAGAAGTGTTAGTGCTAAGAGAAAGTGTTGGAAAAATCAAGGCATTTAAATTATTTCGCAATAATTGTTCCTGATTTATTTTTTAAACAAGTAATCGCGAATTTTTTAACTTCTCTTATCTGATATCTGGCGTTTAATGATCAATGATCTTTGATAAAAGGCGTTGCTCCAAAAATGAATATGAAATTAGATTGTATAAACATGAAGCTAATTTGAAACGACATGTATGATTAACTTGGCTGAATAAAGAACATTAGTCTTAAGATTAACTTGACAAAAATTTGACAAACCTCGATGTCGATGTGTTGCAGGATGGACCGTTTTTGGCGTTTCGCTTGATCCTGATAATCCATTACAAGATAGTCAGTTACATGAATATATTCTTCACGTGCAAGAACACATTGGTGATACTGCTGCAGCTGTATCGGCTCTATGTGGTGCAGAGCGAGAACAAGAACAAGCGAAAGAACAAAAAATACAGTAAGATGGAAGTGTCGAATATAAGCATTATTTCACGGGGCGACATGTACAAGGACGCGAGAGTGAAGAGCGCGCGAGACGACAAAAGGCAAAAGAGGCGACGCGACAAGGACGTGGAGGCGAATTACACGGAGACCGAGGATTCCACGGAGGAGAATGACAAATTCGACTCATCCCCGAAGAATGTAGCTCGTTCCAAACGGTTAGTAACTTTCACTACGCGCAAATTGTTTTCCGCCCACATAGCAAAAAAAATATTACACCATTAAACTTAGGAAGCTTTTAAATGTATTACTAAAAATGATAGCTAAAAATATTAGCGATATTATTCTGATACTTGGGACTTGTAATAAACCTTAAAGTCAAACATTAATACAAGGTTGTTTTGGTTAATTCAAAAAATTAATATCATTTCAATAGCTATCAAAATATAACTACTATCTTAAATCAACGTTTCAATAATATTAAAGTGTCGTCCTTCAATAGAGAAAATTACTACAGTATTGTATTTTCAATGCAAAAAAATTTAATTTGTCGAGATAATATAATAATATTTTAGTAATAATAATATTGATTTTAATGCTATGTGGACGATAATTTTTGTTGCTGCTTCAGTGAATCGACGATCTTATTTTCTTTCTTCTTTTATGCGTCTTATACATCTTATACATCTTCGTAGAAAAAATCGCCAAGATACGGGGTACTCGACGTCGAGTTCCCGCAATTCCGGCAAGCAGGATAAGTCGCAGAAGCGAGAAGGAAAGAGAATATCCTCGCACAGAGAGGAGATGAGACGCGGCACCTCCGACGACGAGAAGCGCAAAAGGAGAGGAGACAAAAAGTCCGGCGAGAAAAGCGAGAGAAAATCGACGAAGAGTAAGCACGATGACGACGACTCCGGTAAGAGTTCCAGTCGGAAGTTTCACAGCGAGAACGAGTCTTCCAGCGAGGAACTGACCGGCACTAAGACGGAAGTTAGCGAGGGCAGTGAGTCGGAATCTAACAGAAAGAGGTAAATTTAGAAAATTAATGTCAATGGCAAAGAACGTTTGCGTTTAAATGAGAATTTCGAGTGCAGTGTGATTCTTCAACTAGAAAAGTAAAACTCACAATTAGCGCGACAAATTTTAAGAATTAAAAAAGCTTCTCCTACTGAAAATTTTTATTGATATCTCAAATAAAATTTCTAAAAATTTTCCATATAAGATCTTAATTATTTCATATGATATCTCAATTGAGATATATGAAAGATAAAAAAAGCTTTTTTTTTTAAAATTTTTAGATTATATTATAAATGTCATTATAATAACTTGATATTTACAATATAATCCGAAAATTTGAAAAAGAAAAATTTTTCTATTTTTTATATATCTCAATTGAGATAATATATATGAAATAATTAATATCTCATAGAAAATTTTTCAGAGATTTCATTTGAGATCATAATAAAAATTTTTCAGTAGGGTCTATAACAAATTTCTAATTACCATATATATATGCACGAAAATGTCTATAATCTGTTTATACAAACGCAAAAAGAGATACTAGCTTTCCTCTTTCTTTCGGGTCTAACTATTTTATCGATTCTTTCTACTTCCAGAGGTCAAAAATTATCTTCAAAATTTATATAGATCATCGGTCGTCGCGAATTTTTTCGATCAGTAAATGCAACTTTATTAATATTCTACGAATATCTGTTTTTCTCGAGTCTCGCGATGCTATAGAGAATATAAAGATACCGTTTTCACACACTCTGTCTATGCATATCTACTATTCGCGTTTTTACGACAATTTGCAGTACTCGTAAATATACGCATCGAAAGCGGAGGCAAGATAGCGATTGACAACGGAATCTGGGTATCCTGGCATTGCTGTTCGTTTATTCTGCGATTCTAGTTGTTTGCATCCTCTTCATACACGCTGGAATTAATGGTGGCATGGTGCTGATCACGAGAACGAGACAGTTACATCGCAATAATTAAAGACGTATATATATTTGTAAAAATAGACAAACGGAAAAATAGACATCCTTCAAAGTACCAATATCTTGGTGCGACGGACCGAATATCTGAATAATTTCTCTAGAGCGATTCTGCTCCGATTTGTTCTTATAAAATCGCAATGTTAAATCCTGCAATTATATCGAAAGTGTATGTGTATAAAGTAGTATATCTATATACACAAATTGCATGAAATGATTAATATCTTGTACGATACAACTTTCAATACTTCTCGATTAAAGAAATATTACTTTCATGTGCCTTCATAGAGAGAACAAACATTAATTACGCAATTGCGTAAAGAAGAAATCAATGCAGAGAACTATCAGAAGCAGTTTCAGGATCTTTCAAACGCAAGTGTCTTAACAAAAACAAAAAAGAGTTAAATGCTGCAATATTGAAAAATATATAGATATACTTAACAATTTTCATACCATGTTCTATCAATTATATCCACACATTACATTCTCTCTTAGAGCGTCCACGTTCGCTTGACGAGACGAATGGGAACAAATGACAGTTTAGATTTAGACAGACAGTTAAACTATTCTACGAAAATATCCTTATCTCGTCGGTGAACGTACCTCGAGAAGAAAACAACTTTAAACTCAACGACGACGACGCACGCGTCGAACGGATGAAGCTCCACTCTATCTTTACACAATGCAGTTACTCGAAAAGAGCTTCCAGCCATTGGATACTTTGTTTGCCATCGAGAGTATCGATATAGTTGGATACATCGTCCTGGTGAATCCCGTTGGCGGCGCAATACAACACCGTGGTGTTCTCCAGCAGTTCCCGTAGACAGTCTTCCGTCTTCAAGACGTCCGCTTCGTCTTTGGAGCATCCCGAGGCCGCTTCCTTCAGCTCCGTGTCGATCGCGAGCGCCTCTCGTCGTTTACCAAAGTACTTGCGAGTCACAGAGAATTTCTCTCTGGTAGAACTCGATACACTCGAATTCATCTGTTGATTTCTTGAAGAAACACCTTGGTAACTCTCTAAAGGTGCTGGAGGTCCTCCAGGTTTATTGGACGCGCTTCGATCGTTGTTAATGACCTGCGTCTGGTCACCAATGTTCTCCAGAGTCGACAACTTCCTCCATTTTCCCTGTGAGAGGTCGAGACCCATGCTTCTATCTCCTGAGACGTTCTGACTCTCTTCTGTTGTCGTATCCTTCTGCCAGAAACAACTCGCTTTCGTCGAATGCTTCGCGTTCTTCGACGCGCCGCCGTAGACCTGTATCGCGGACTTCCTTGTCGCGCCCCTGTTATACTCCGACAAGATCCGGGCGATCTCCGAGGCCTCACTGGTGCACAACGAGCGATTTTTTACGCTGGGACCTGTGAATACTCCGTCCGGTTGTTGGATCTTTGCATTGTCCGTGTTCCCGTTCTCGTCGCTCTCTTTCGCGACACAGAGGGTCCTCGTGTTCTCTATCTGGGCGTCCAAGGTGCTCCTTTTCGGCTTGTACTCTCGTATACCGCTCGTGGAGTGTCGTTTTAAGGTGTAAAAGTTGCCTCCCATTGGAGACGCTTCGCGATTGGCGGCTACCTCATCTGTAGACATCAGCTTCTTGTAGATTGACGACAACGTCTCCTCACTGACGGACGCGTCCTTCAGCTTGAACGTGTCCTTCGTGTCCTTCGTTTTGAAGGCCTCATTGCTCGTCTTCGCGCCTGAGTTCCTCAGCAAGACGAGAGAGGCGTTTGGGAAGCCTCGCAATGTTGGCAAATTCGTTCTGCTGTTCTCCAAGATCGACCTCTGCGATCCCGGTGACACGTATGTCGCTGAGGATGATGCGACAGTCCCAGCGCTGGCTCTACCACGATTATTCTTGTTCTGAACGCTCTGCGTCATGGCAATGGCGTAACCTTCCAGCAACTTCGCTCCTTCGGCGAACTTGTCTGAGTTGTCCATGATGTTGTTTTTGAAACTTATGATGTTTTCTTTCGTCGACTCTGAAACGCTCGTCTTGGCTGTAAGCGTTGCCGGCTTCTCCTCTGCCATTTGCTTGTAGGACGGCGTCATGACTTGCGAGCAGTAGCCAAGCACGCAGTGAAGGCTCCCATGCATGCATGTTCCAAAGGATTTGTTCCTTTTTGTCGAGAAAGAAGTGTTCCATGTGTCTCCCGTATTCGACGAACGTTTGTTCTTTGTCTTCGCTTTTCCTGCCGACTTCTTCTCAGCCGAGGAAGGCCGCCTGTCGTAGCGCGGGTCGACGGCGACCACCTCGATCTCAGACTCGTCCACAATCTCGCAGTAGGATAGTCCGTCGAGGCTGACGAAGGATCTTCCTAGGTACTCCACTGCTAGACCGACCTGAGTACAAACTTGTATAGTTATTTCATACAAGTATGCAAGTCGATTTCTTAATATTGAGATTTTTTAAAGAATTTGAAGGAATTTCGAATTTTCACGAGTAAGATTTGTTGTGAAGAATATAAATATACTGAGAAAAGAATATTTAAAAATTTATTTGTGGAATGTAAAGTTTATTTCTGTAAAATAAAGTTTATTTCTGTGAAATAAGGTTTATTATCTTACGAAAAAACAAACTAATACATCTCATAAATAAATGTTCAAGTATTTTTCTCAGTGTACACTGAGAGAAAAAATATCTGAGAAATAAGAGATATTTATTCCGTGGGAGTACTAATAATATATTTATTAAAAATTAAATTGTTTTATTTAAATAAAATAAACAATTGCTTTCATGGGAAGCAACGGTGTTTTAGGAAAATATATATTTTCTTCTTTGAAAAAAATTTCTTTTCAATCTAAAAATACGTAAATTAGTACAAATAAATGTGTTATTAGTGTATCTATCAATAAATATTAAATTATAATTACCATTTATATAAGTTATATGTATATATATATAACGTTATAAATAATAATATTATAAGGTAATACGTGTTTTATAAAAAGTATAACGTACGATGAGATTACTAACTTGCAAAGGTTAACAATTCTTCTCGAGAATATTGTGCAATTGATTCGCAATTCACGCGGATGTACGAGGAATAAATAAAAATGTCGCGTTGCTCGAGAAGACGATCTTACCTGAGGATGATAGACTGGTCTTTCGTGCATTCCATGCACGGGCCACTCTTTCCATTCGGTCTCGTCTCGTTTGGTGGGCGCCTGATAAGTCGCACCCACAGTATACATCTTCCGGGTGACCGACCTGGTATTCATGTAAGGCGTAGTAGACGATCGCGTGCGTTTACCGGCTTCATAATTCTCACAAACCTCTCGTTTGTTGTTCGCCAGCAGCCGCTGTCTCGGCCGCGAAAAATCCTTGTCAACATCCTTCTTAGACATCCGCATGGGATTCCGTCTTACTTCTACCGTTTCGCGGCTAACAATAACATCACGTAACGATACCTTCTAACATTTCCGACTGAATCGTGTTTGGATCACCCCGTGAGCACTTAATGACGTCATAAGCTATCAAAGAGCTTATAAAGTCAATGTTTGGTAACAGCGTCACACATGCAACGATCTTTCATAAACTGCGTTATACATGTGTGATAAGAAAATTTTCTTTTCCTATGCCCACATATATATTTGATCGAATCAAGCCTGTGTGTTTACACAGTTACGTCAAAAGGAAAACAAGATATAAGCTTGTTTGTGAGAAGAGTTTTTTAAATCAATCCTGAGCGTGTTAATCGCTCCCTGAGTGATCTAAACTCGCGTCGGTTCAATGTTGTTTACAACACTGGGAAAAAATATTTGAAATTTATTTTTGGGACATAAAGTTTATTTTTCTATGTGAAATACAATTTATTTCTGTGAATAAACTTTATATGCCAAAAATAAATTTTATTGTCTTTTTCTTGGTGTATATATATATATATATAAAATACCCACAAAATGTCCGGAGGAGAGTGTGAGACACCCTGTGTGTGTGTGTGTGTGTGTGTGTATACTGCATTCAAATAAATGTTACTTGTTTCAAGTATTTTATAAATTATGCGCAAATCTATCGTAAGTTCATTATATTATCAAATTTATTCACAAAATACATTCTGAATCCTAGTAAATATATATTGAAAAAAAATATTTGAAAATTTATTTATTAGTTATGAAGTTTATTCACAGAGATAAATTTTATTTTATAGAAATAAATTTTATATCCAACAAATAAATTTTAAGTTGATTTTAATCATTCAATATTCCTAATTAGAACTCTGTTCGACCAAGTTATTATCAAAAGAGATAGACACAAATAAATTTAGAGAAAATATAAAAATAGACACAGACAAAGAGAGAGAGAGAAAAAATTTCTCACTCTTAGGAGAAGATAAAATTCGTAAAATTTTGTTATTACACTCGCGAGTATTTTCCAAGAGACGAATACACAAAACAACTACACCGCTTCCTCACCTTTTATTTCTGACAGCTCGTGGAATTCTCTTCACCTTGGCGACTGCGCAGCCGGAAGTCGAGCTACTGCCGCCACTACTGCTACTGTTGGTCTCCGTCAGCTCCTTGTAGTCGCTGTCTTCGACTTTGCTTGATCTCGCTTCCTCCTGCCTCGTCACGATCGTGTCTGGCGGCAGCTTCCGCAGCATCTCTGTGTTCTCGTCGTCGCGCGTCGATGTCGCATCTATCTGCTCGATGGCATTCGTCATTTCTAGCCGTCGAAGAGCCAACTTGCACTTGTTGTCGCTCAGCTCGATAACCCGCCGATCCAGCCTCGTTTCTATCTGACGACGTCTCACTGGCTCTTCCTCTTGTAACAACAGAATCACCTCCATCCCATCGTCGAGTATTTCTCCTCGAACGCGACCGGTCGACGTTGAATTCGACGGCAGATCACGAGTGAAATACGTCGCGTTCTTGGCGGCATCCTCGTTTGGATTTCCCGTGATCGTCGGCTCGTTTCTCCTCGGAATTTCTTCGATCTCCTGAATCTCGTAGTCCTGCTCGATCGAATCTTGTAGCGTTACCTCCATTATCTTTAATCGTCATAAATCTGTTTTTTCTACCGCTGAGTCCTTATCAGGACCAAAATTCAAAATCTAAGTCGGTCTTCCTGGCAACTGATCGCGCCAAACACTCTCAATTAATCAAATCTCCAATTAATTTTTCCTTTCTTCTTCTTTATAGGCTATGTAACTCAGAACGAATCGCTAAATTCTTATTTAATTCCAACTCTAGACGCAACCTAAGTTGCAATTCGTCACGCTTCCTGCGTGGAAAACAAAATAAGTGAACATTCACGGCTCGTCGAAGAAGAGAAGAGATGATATTAGGATGTGAAGTAATGAAGCACCGTTGATGATGAAAACTTTTCGCGGCTGAGAGGACAAACCTGACGACTTCCGACCGTTCCTCTTAGCACAGTTGCGTGTCGCGTCTTCGAGAGCCTACTGATCTTATCGGTGCCTTTTTTCGAAGGTGTCTCTCGCCGTTAGAAAAGAAACGTGGAAGAATTCGCACGTACTCTCGGCGACTTAGCAGGCGAATTGTTTTCGGTATCTTCTCTCGAAAATGTAACGAAGTTACGGACTCGATAACTGGATGGAGTGAGGTAATCGATAGCAATCGGACGGTATGATAGAGTGGCACTTCCGTAGGAACGAACGCGATGAAAAATCCTCTCACCAGGAGCACTGTGGCCGGCTGTCACGGTGGTGTCACCTTTCAAATGTTTCACCATGTCGGTCGATTGCACGCGCGAGTGTGCGCGCCTGCGCACACACGCACGCATGCACGTACGTACGCGGATCGATTTAACGGCAAGAAATCGACAGTTGAAGGTCGATGTTCCCCTCGGGAAAACGTCGTGAGCGTTACGTTCAACGGGCGCAGTGTTTCGCTGTTTTAGAGCTATTCCAGCTTGTTCCAGCTTCTTAGTAACCTGACAGTTAAATCATATATCCGTCTTCGTTTTTTCTTTAAATGTAACAGAGACAGACATATGATTTAACTGTTAGGTAGCTTACCAAGAAATTGGGACAATCGGCCCTTAGTCGAGGAAACGCAATGGAGTCGCCAAAGTGAGTCAGGACGCACTTCGCGTCTTCTTAAGGATGTTAATTAATGTTCTCTCTTAAAGTGAATGAGTGAATAGTCACTGATATCAGTTATGAGTATAGCACTGAGCACTTTCAGTGCTATACTTATAACTGCAAATCAGTGTATATTCACTGTTTTCAATGATGTTTTCAATGATGTTTGACTGATTTATTTTAAGAGAGTTAATGACTCTGTTTATCTATCCGAACGTAGAACCAGAAGGAAACGAGAGATCGTTGTGCACGATTAATTCTAACTAATGTAGAGAACGATTTACATATTTAATATATAAAGAAAAAGCAGGGCGCAACAATTACGGTAATAATTATATTCCAATATTGCCTAATGCATAACTTTTATATGTATCGTAATGAAATCGATCTCGATTTGGAAGTAGAACAAATATAAGGTTCTGAGATGAAAATATTAATATAGAACGAGCTGATAAGAACATCGTGTGCTGATGTGCGCGCGACAATAACATTTAGTAGAGAAAAGCTTTTGGTAATTATTACGAATATAAAAACGATATAATCCAAATATGTTTGTACACTAAGAAAGAATACTCGAAAATTTATTCACGGAATATGAAGTTTATTCACAGAGATGAACTTTATTTCGCAGAAAGAAGCTTTATAACCCACAAACAATTCTTAAGTATTTTTCCTCAGTGTATGGACCATCTCTTCAGTGAACAATAATATAAACATTATTATTACTTGCTAAATATGATCCAAAATTGAACTGAAACATATTTCGACCATATCATTTTTGGATTAGTAATATATATTAGTAATATATAGCAATTTGTTTTTTTTATACATTAATTTCGCACCAAAATCAAAGCACGGTTCTTATTATTTCGTTTCATATTGAAATTTTGATTGATTAGAAAATATGCCTGCGAGATTTCGCGACTTCTCAAATCGCTCTCATATTCTAATATCGTACACTTCTCCTATCCATCGTACAAATTTTTATTACGATGTATTTCAGTGACGTAACACATATGTTTCTTTCCAAGGTGAGAAGTACAATCGTTAGTTATTTAAATCCTATTGCGACGCGAACGCCATTGTAAACGACAGGGTTAAACAAATAAAAGTACAATCAAGACTTCTCTGTTGTGATTTGCGATCGTCGCTGTGAAGAATAAGGACGGCCAGGGGTCTCGAACAGCATCGATTTTATTCCAAAGCAAATACTAAATTGTACTAACTAGTGTCCTTTTACACGTAGATATCGAATACAATGCTCTCGTATTGCACGTGAATTGAAACCAAAACTGCCAATAAGTCCTTAGCACTCCTTTATCTCTCCCTCTTTCTTTCTCGCTCTATTTTTCCGTTTCTCTCCCTCTCTATCCCAGCGTGAAAGTATTTACAAAGAAAAGAGGAATCGCTGCGTGACTCGCGCGAGCGTCTCGTCGCGGATGCTCAATTCATATTGTCGGTTGTCAACGCGAGGGTGGTCAGCACTGATCGCCGGTTTGGATTCACCCCCAGGTTCTCCCAGTTTATCCAGGACAAGCGCGCCGTAAGATCTGCAACAATGATTTTGACACTTACGAGGCTGATTCGCGAAAGTAAGTCTCAGGTAAGTCAAGCATCCATGAGCTCTGATCGCGTCTAAACCGATCGAGCGGTATAATCGTGGCGAAAAATTTGCTCTCATTGAGCTTCAAGACGCAATCCTGTATCCAATAGAGAAATTTATTTTCTGAGAGTTGCTACGAAACAAATTTTCCTGCTGTATCTTTCTATTTTTGAGTTTACAACATAAGTAGTAAATATGAAAATAGTTATGCAAATAATAAATAGCACGTTCATTTTTCTTGTAAAATTTGTAATACCTCTATGTCCAATAGGAAGATTTATCTTCTGAAAATTGTTAAGAGACAAATTTTCCTGTCGAATGTGGACTTTTTATAAAATTCACAAAAAATGAATGTATCTTCCACTTATTACTATTTATATTTTTTACTATTCACTATTTATATCATGTTATAAACTCGAAAATTCTTGGGACAGACGGACCGACGTTAAAAATCGATCGGTTTAATATCGAGGTTTAATATCGCCTCTTTGTTAACTCGATCAGAGCAACGGAAGAAATTAATTCTAGAATGATAAAATTGTACGAACCACTTGTGTTCCACTCGGCGCGTTCGCCGTTTATCTCACCCCTAAGGCACCTCTCGACGTACGTCAAAGGGTCTAGTCTGGCCGCCAGGACCTCGCGTAGTAGCGCGATGTACGCGATGGCCAGACGTAGGGTGTCGATCTTCGACAGTCTTTTCTCGTAAGGGAACGTCGGCACATGGACCCGGAGCTCGTCGAAAGCCGAGTTGATGCTGCTAAAAATTGCAATCACACTGACAATCCGCTAACTCGGACAGAAATGGTGTATTTCGCAAATTATGAGTCTTAAAAGATGAAATACATGCCTGATTAATCGCCAAAATAAAATCGTCCATTAAATTCATTTTACATTTCCAATAAAAGTTCTATAATATATATTCCATAATATATATTCAATATTTGATTTTTTAGGCTTTCGCGCTGTCCATACATATTAGATTTGGTTTCCGGGTTTGAGCCGCGTGGATTCATCTTTATTTGATTCCGACGTTTCGCGAACATCCTCGGAATCAAACAAAGATGAATCCACAAGGCTCAAACCCGGAAACCAAATCTAATATATATTCAATAATTATTATTTAAAATTCTATTAAATTCACTCATTATTATCATTTTTATCAAAATATTTACTTTACAGTCTGTCAGTAGACTGAGAAAATGATTTTTCCTATCGTAAATAATGTCGTGTAAATGTTTGTCAATTTAAATTTTCTTTACTGTTAGCTTCAAATAGGTTTCATGATTATTTCACGTTACACTTTTGTATCGTAATTACACAACCAATTTTGGAAATAAGACTGATAATTCTTATTCATTACGTACATAATCTTTCGGTCCCTTTCATATAGCTTTTAGAATTTCGGCTCTTTCCGAAGTATCTTGATCGGAAGAGAACTGAGTTAATGAAAGTTTAGCGCCGATTATTTCCGAACATTTCATACCTGAGCATGCGTTTTCTCTCACGAATGTTGGCGGCGTGTCGTTGGATTCTGTAGGGGCTACCGTTTGGATAATAACCCTCCTCCACGCCGTTTATCTCTGTGTCATTATGATCTGAGGGGGAAATTGTACAATGGAAATTTATACAACGGATAAAGTGTACGAAGAATTCATACGGTGAAGGCAGAGTTAAGTGGTGGATCCGAATGATCATTCATTATTCATTCACCTGGTGTTGAAACTGGCATATGGTAATGTAAGGGAGAGTGCGTATGTGGTGAGGTGTGCGCGACGTGTTGCGTCGACCTGCCCGCGTAAACGCATGATGGCAATTCCGCCAAATCCTCCTCGCTAATGTCACTGCTGGGACCCACATAATATTGTGTGCTACGGAATAAGAAATATCAGATACAATAATGCGAATAACACGAGATTGACATATAGTTGAAATAAGCGAAAAAAAAAATAAAAATATGCGACACCCAAAATTTTTCTCATAACAAAGCAAGAAATTAACTTTATGCAATTGCATACATATTGGAAGCTATATTTAATAAGTATTTAATTAATGATAATAATCTATGAATAATGAACGCGATAGAATCGTATTCGTATTTGTAATATAAATATTAATCAAATAATATATTAATCAAATATTAATAAATAATGATAAATCATATATTAATCAAATCATTATCAAAATTTGAATGAAATTAGTCATTTATATTTCTATAGGATCTCCTAGCTTCAAATAAGAGCTTTTAGCAGTTTTGTTTCATAAAATTTACGTGTAAAGATGTATTCTATAACGATGTACATATAATAATCGATGCGTATATAATAAACTCCCATTATCCGCTTTTAAGTCTAAGCGATTACTTGTGACATATTATTTCTTAAAGGCATATGTTAGAAATTTGTACTGTCTGAACTGTAAACAAACATGAGAATCGCTCGTAATTTCATCGACATGATCGAGTGCGTTATAAGCTCCAGTCAAAGAATATCACAATAAATAAGAATCGAATAAAAACGTTTAGATAGACATTCAGTTTTATGTATACTTTGAGAGAAAAAAATATCTAAAGTAGATAATGTATATATAATAACATATTTAAATCTAGATTTTTTCATTAAAATAGAATAAACAGTTGCTTTCATGGCTTAAAATGTATATTTTCTTATTTGGAAAATATTTTATATTAGTATAAGTAAATATTTATGACACAACAGACCTCGACCCAATGCCTTGGACAGCTCCTGGGGGGCTGTCCTTCTTGCCAATAATAATAATAATAAGTAAATATGTTATTAGTGCATCCACTGAATAAATATTTACTATTTCTGAGATATTTTCTCTCTCAGTGCAAGAAATGGTCCGACAGGAAATCCAGAAAACAGTACCTGGTGCAAGCCACGGTGGAGTCCGCCGGTCTCGACGCGGTGCCGACCCGATGGCGAATCCTCTGGCCTCTGTCCTCGAAGTCGTACGCCGGATGGTGATTTGCCATAACGCGCGCGGCTCTCACGATCTCATCCGTCGTCAGCACCCTCGCGAGATTTACGCGCCACGAGTCCACGAGCAACCCCACTGAGCGCGCGGCTCAACTCCTCCGTTCCGTCTCTCCGCTTTTTCCTCCTCTTTTTTTCCCTCCGCGGAAAAAGCCAGAGAATCCTGCCCAGTCCTGTCGAGAGATCTACGTCGGGGATCTCGCGGCAAGATGTCGATTCTCCGGATCTCTTCCTCGATCGATCTCACCGCGACCGACCGATCGACCGGCCGATCGCTCGCTCGCACGGGGCTGTCCGCACGGGAAACTCGCGGGATCCAGACTATCGCCGGTGTCCCCGGGGAGGCTGCCTTATATATGAAAAGCTCCCTCACTTGCGAGGGGGATGATCGATACCAACCCCTGGGCGGGCGCGCGTCCAATGGCGAGTCGTGACGCTCGTCGTGCACGATTATCAGACGCTCGCGGGATTGGCGAGCCGGCTTCGGCTATAGCGAGGCTTTTATCGGCGTCCCTCCAGCGCGTCCCACAGCGCGCACCCCGCGGAGATTTTATTCACCCCTCTTCACCCCTCCTCTCTTTCTCTCTCCCCCCTCCCGCCTGCCAACCCCTCGCCACCGTCGTCTCGAGCGGGGCACGCGGGGGTGGGTTTATTCGCGGGAAGCACAGGGAAGAGTGGTCCGACGAAGAGTGGCGGGGTGGTTTTTCAATTTCGCCGAAAGCACGACTGAAATATCGTCAGCGTCAGGTTCTTTCGTCGTAAATGATTTTCTTCCGCGCTCCTTCGACTTCGCCGTCTCTCATTCACCTGATCTTTGTCGCTTTTCCGATATAGCGCATCAATCTCCTTTATGACGTTTATTTTGGCGCGCGTTTGGGGCCACAGTGCAAAATTCGACACACAAGTTGCATGGCAGAGGAAAATGTATCCCAGTTCATATAATTGAATGTTGAATATAGGAATGTTCATATAATTCTTAACAAATATTCTATAATTAGTTTTTGTTACGTCGTAGTCGTGCAGCTCATCTGGGCAAGATTACAATAACATTGGCGACACAATTTTGTTCAACATATATTTTCCAGATCATCATTTTAATATTTAAAAGATCTCAGTCGTCGATAATTATTTATTAAAGAGTTATAAACAAAAAAATGTATAAATAAGATTTAGTTTTTTGACACTATGTGCATTTATCGTAATCGCCAAAGTTATCGTAATCTCTCCCTCATCTGCAACGTCGTGTGATGAAGACACTATCGTTAAAAGTTGCGGGATAAAAAAGTATAAAAGTGGAAAAATGTTACAAGAAACAAAAAAGAAGATACGGAAATTTCGTCGCGCTTTTTCATTATCATTACGTATCGTCGTTGCGCAGCTCTTCTGCAACGTCATGATAAAGACACTGTTGTTAAAAGAATAAAAAATTAAAAAATATTTTAAAAATAGAAAGTTACAGAGAAAATTGAAATTTCACTGCGCTCGGGAATTCAGGTTTCACACAGTAATATGATTTTCATTATCGTCATGATGAAAGCGTTGCTGTTAAAAGCCGCAAAATAAAAAGCATCAAAGCATAAGAATGTTACAATAAAAATCACAGGATGAAATCACAGTCAGAAATTAAAGTCACAGAGTGAAAATTTCGATCAGAAATTTATGTTTCACACAACAGTGTGATGTTCGCGATTAACAAAATTTCGTGCATTCAACGACCGCGATTGTCGATCCGCAAAACTGCTCGCTTCACTCATGACAGCCTGAGAAAGCATCATCCGGGCTGACGTCTGGAAGAGAGCGCAACCGAGGTCGATCTGCGGCGGTGTGTCTCTTTTAAGGGCGCGATTATTAGCCTTCCCATTGCGCGGCATGAATGGAGCCGATATTCAAATGAGCTGTGTTTAGTGCACACGCGGGAGAAGAGAGAAACGCGACGGCGGCGACGGCGGCTACGGCGGTGGTGGTGCAATTATATGAGGTGTTAATACGATCACAATAGTGGTTCACCGGGGTTGTACCAACTACAACACGAGCCGGACAAAGTTTTGTCGGCCCGTGGAAACGAATTCGGGGACGAGAGAAAGACAGAGAGGGAGAAAGAGCGAGCGGATCCGCGGTCGGTCCTCGCCCAAGGCACCACCGAATTATTATTGGCGGGCCCACCGAACGATACGATATGCATATAATTGGGATTTAGGCTCTCGAACCTGTGTGAGAACATGTCGTCCTTACGTGTGTACTGTGTATCGCAACCCTTCCGCCCTGCGAGAGAGAGAAAGGGAGAAACGGAGAAATGTATAGAGAGAGATGCGACGGAGGTCGCACGCTTGATCTGCATATTTCGACGTTATCTCGCGGCAGAGAGAGGAATCGATCCAAAATTAATATAATGCAGGGAGTGCAGTGCGGGAGGGGAGTGTGAATTTCGAGCGAGTGAATTTATAATACCGGCGCGATGAATCCGCGCCGAACGAACGTGTAGAACTCGGCCAGACGTGCGACGAGGCGATGAAACCGCGCTCGATAATCGCGTGGAAAATCTGTAAAGAGAGAGAGAGTGAGAAAGAGAGAAGAGAGGCAGAGAGGAACTTTTCGATGGCCACGCGCGATCTCGCTGTGCGTGAGTGTGATCCGCGCCCATGTAACGCGCCAGATGTAACTCGAGTGTGCGTATCGTTTCGTAACGGCTCGGGAGCGTGCCGTTTCGAGAGTATCACCATGACAAATTTCGAGTGAGCTTTGTGCACCCGCAAAGCTATTATTTATCTCAATTTGTCGCGTTCGCGTTTAAAGGGAAAGCGCGGCGCGGACTCCGGGATTCGTTCCGAACGTGTCTGCCCGTTTTACCTTCCGCCCTTCGCTCCCTTCAACATTTGCACGCGAGTGTCGACATGAGCGCGAGACGCAACGTGTAATCGAATACATTTCTCTTTCCAACGAGCGCCTGTGCTCCTTTACCCTATTTTATCGTTTGTGCTGAGACTTTGGCACTTGCAAAGGAATGACTCCACTCCGTCGAGATTTATTCTTTTACAGTGAGAGAGGACAAAAATGTCTGTAAAACAGAAGATATTTATTTGGTCGATACTAATGACATATTTATCTAAATTTGAATCCTTTTGTTTAAATAGAATAAACGAGATTGATTTCGTGAGAAGCAAAAATGTGTTTCAGGAAAATATATATTTCCTCATTCAAGAGAAATTTTTTCTCAACGTAAAATTAAATATGTTAGTATAAATATGTTGTTAGCACACCCATCGAGTGAATATTTTCTAGTTTAAATTTTAAAAACAATTTTTTAAATATTTTTTAAATATTTTTTAAAATTTTCCTCTCAATGTGCTACACAAAGTAATCTAATTCTGTAATATTCTTTGATTGTAAAGCCTAATAAAAAAAATGGATTAATTCGGTGGGTATTAATAACACAATTGTTGAAATCTAAATTCTTTTATTTAAATAGTACTATTGTTTTTTTTTATGACAAGCTACGGTTTGCAAAAAATGTACGTTTTCTCATGTGAAAAATATTTGTTCATGATACATACATTTTGTATTTGCATGAAATCGATCTGTGTAGAAATTTTCTATTGAATTTCTGGCTTATTGAATATCCGTGTCATATGTATTAATTTGAGATATTGTCGTTGCATCATTTTGACCATTTTGCGTTAACTTCATTCTCACCATTTTTGTGTGTGTTAAAATAACACAACTTACATTCTTGGTGACATATTTTACATGTAAAATGTATAGATAAGTTGCGTTACTTGTTGACATATTTACCTTGGGTTAAATTAATACAAAAAATTGGAGTGGACAAATTGGAACGTGTCCAATGTGTTAAATTCTACACAACATTCTTCGCAATGCAGTATAAATATATATTGATATAAATAAAAATACGTTATCAGTAAGAATATTTTATTTCTCAAATATTTTCTCTCTCAGTATAGTTTAACTCTCAGTCAAGTTATTATATCATTATTTGTAAGGAATATTTACATGAGATATTTGAACAAGTAAGTGCGTGACCGCGAAATCTCGAAGTCACCAAAATGAAATCCACTTGCGATTGGATTTTCTTGGGCGATGATAGGGCCCAGTGGGGAAGATGGTCGATAACCAGGCAAACATTTAATTCACGATTACATTATTTTCGAGGGGCGAGCCCGGGCAGACTCCCCCTGTCAGCGCCAGTGCATTCCCCTTTGGCATGCACACGCGTGTCTGCAGGGTCGGCGCGGCGCGGGGTCGAAACCCCGGAATAATAGAGATTTCACGCCGCAGGGCCCACTTCGGTTCTCACAGTAGGGGTCTGATCGCCGAGCGATCTCCTGTTGTCCGGCGGCTCGATCTGCCGGCACGCGTCCGCGTCGGGACATTTAATTCGCCGTCCGCGCGGAGAGAGAACGCGTGCCCCTAAGTATCTGTTTATAGTCCCTGGGGATCAATTTGTTTGCTAAATTATTTATTGGTCAAACGGATGGACGAGAGCGGCGCTTCGCGCGCCGCGACTCTGTTGAATCCGCGATTGGAAACGCAAACGCTTTGGGAAAAGCAAACAACGGCCCGGGCGCCGCCGCAACCTCGTCGATTCTGTTCGCTCCGTTTAACCGCGACGTCAATCGCGCGCAGCTCGCGGATACGCTATCGCGAAGAACACAGAGAAGTAGACACGGAGTATTAAAAAATGCATAATTAACAGCTGACTTGTGAGTTCATTCGGTTTTCAAAATCGCAGTCTGGCTATGCGGCCAAATTTTTCCTGATTCCTATGCAGCATTTTAATAAGAAATATACGGAGAAAATGTAATACGATGAGAAGAAATTATGTAAAAATTTATTTGTGAAATTACTAATTAAATTTATTTGTAGAAGTGTTGGAACATTTATTTGTTCGCAGAAACAAATCTCATGTTCTTCACAAATAAATTTTCAAATATTTTTTCTCAGTAAAATTACCACCACATTTTTGTAATCTTGGATCATACAGAATTATGAGCGAAATTACTAGATATTTGTGTCGCAAGATGTTACGTACATTTTATTTTTTATTACAAAATTATTGTAATTATTAGAATTTTTTATATCAATTGAAAAATGTAGTAGTAATAAATAATTTATTGACAATCTTATTTATAATAATTTATTTTCAATCTTATAAAAATCTTCGAAAATTATTTTTAAATCCTAATTAGAAACTTTTATTTCATATTCTATATTAAAAATATATTAGAATAAATTTTTTCCTCCGTGTGGTTTATATTAGACTGAGAAAAAAACGTTGTTGATCTAACTGAAGTTATAGTTATGTTTTGTCCTCCAACCATATTTCTTGGTTGTTCTGACACGAAAATAGTAGTACTAGTATGCATATAAGATATATTATCACTAAAGTTATAATAGAATTTGGATGCGTTCGGGGAGGACTCTACCAACGCTACCGCGTTCTTCTATCTTTATCGCTCCTTAAATATACAACAAGGATAAAATGACGGTAGCGCTGAATAACGCTAATAACGAGTTCCCCGAACGCACCTATAAATGAAAAAATAGTTCCCTTGGCCATAATTTGTAATCATTATTTCTCTGTGTGATTACAGCTATAAATATCAAACATTTTTTCTCAGTGTACAAATGAAGCTGCCAGGAGATATGCGCAAATGTTGGAGATAGAGAAGAAATATGGAAATATGCAGCAAATTTCATAGGTCTTTACCCAGAACAATTCCCGAAAATTAGATATTTAATCTTACGCGAAAATCGACCTTTTCGAATTGCCGGCGTATATTCCGATTTTGTAGCCACGCTTTATTTCGCGCGTATAAAAGCCAGATGGCAGATTTATTTACAGTATAATACGCCACCCAGCATTCTATGACGCCGCGTTTATTATTATGTAACTCGTTCGCTACGTCAACCGCAGTCGGTTCGTATTCACGAACGGCCGATTAAAATCGGCACAGTGTGTTATTGCGTAACTGCATGTCGCGCCGAAATATCGCACGTTTGCACGTAACATGGAGTCTACAGCTCTTAGAACGCGAGTAGTTGAGGCGTGGAATACTGAAATTAGTTTCCTTTTGTGCAATTACGTTCGATCAGGCACATTCGATTTTGACGTGTCTCCAAATCGAATTTGTTAAGCTGAATTTCGTATAATATTATTTAAAATAAAAAATTATTTTGTATATTACATATTTATCGCTTTGAAACAATAAATATATAATATACAAAATAGTTTCTTATTTTAAATAATATTGTGAAGATATATTTTATATTATATTATAAATAATATTGTGAAAATATATTTTATAAAATTAGAAAGATTCAATGAAGGAAGGTCTGATTATCATGGAACAAATAAATAACAAAGATTGAGATATAAAGATTGATATAAATCACACTATTGTATAATAAAAATAATGTAATTTATATCTAGAGCAAGCAATTCAATGATCATGTAATTGTTTTATTAAATCAATATTAATAATTAAATCTTATATAATTTTATCTATCTATCTATTTATATATGTGTAAAATTGAATGTCTGCCTGTATGTTCCCTATTAAATCCTAAGCTCTTTAACCGATCAGCCTTTAACCTGGATAAATCTTTGCATAGTTATTTGGAGGATTCTGTGGAAAATATAGGCTATATAAGAGAGAAGGAGAGAGAGAGAGAGAGAAACGAAGAGAGAGATCTGGGTATTCCATTTCCTGATTTCATCCTCTTGATATTCTGTGATAATTTAAGTTTAGAAGTTCTATATATAAAAAATTCAGATAACGCCGAGTAGATTAAGCTAGTAAAAAAATTTGATGTAACGTAAAATATATTAAAATAAATAAATTACATTATTCTTGCTGTCAGCGACAAAAATATCGTAACTATTTGTCACCAACACGCCCGATACCCAACCAAACTGACGTTCCTTGGTTCCTTTAGAGCCTAACATTCGCAGAAACTCACCTTCCGGCGAAAAGATCTGCACCCTGCCGTTTCCGGCGTCGCCGACGATAATGTTTCCCTTCTTATCGATTCTTAGCACTTCCGGCGATCTACAGGATGAAAATACAGTTCTTAGCAGATTACATGTTTTACCGATACTTGGTAATAAGCAAAATAACTTAATCATACTTGAAAAGACCTTTCGACGTGCCGACACCGCCGATCGTCTGAAGGACTTGCCCCTCGTGGTCGAATATCTGCGTGAAAGTGAAACTTCAGTGCAAAAATGCAATAATGAATGAAATTTATAGTTACATCAGTTACACCCTCATCGCGCACATTTACACAATTATATTTAAATCATCGTGTATATGTGTGCGATCACATACGTAACCACTGGACATCACTTTCGTGAAACGTGTGGCAATAAAAAAATAATAAATATCTATCTTCTCTTCTGCGTACATACGCACCTATTAATTTTTACCTCGGATTTTTCTAACATTTATGTAGAACTGCGTGATACTCTTATTTGATATATTTTTTTCTTTCTCTACAGGTATAATGTTTATATATATTTGTCCACTTATTTGTGTATTTATTTTATATATATTTGTCAAATATTTTAGCCAATCTCGATTCTTATTGTTGTGCTCGCAAGCTCTCAGTTCTTTCCTCAGAACTGAAGAATTTATACACGACACAGAAAGAAAATTAGTATCCATTTAAAACTTCTGTACTCAATTCTACTTTTATACTACAAATTAACCATAAGAAAAAGAAAATTAAGAGGAAGGCTCTGATGAAAAAACATACAAATTAAATAATGGGTCTTTAAGAAAGCCAAGCACAGATTATATATAGTGTTATAAAAAGAACATATTTCCTATGTAAAAATTAAATCCACACACATTAATGTTATTTAGGTCTGTTTAACAATCATTGTTCCGTATTCTCAACACGATAATGTATATTTCTCTATGGGGGATTAGGGAGAATATGAAATTCCCTTGTTGGGGAAAAACCCACTTTAATTTTGTGATTGCCAGAATCGGCGACGACGACGCGCGTCGTCGTGACGGCCACGTCCGTCGGTTGATTCAGATGGCTCGGAATAGGATCGGTTTTATAGAACTTGGCAGCGTTCTTCGCGCGTTTGCCGATGGGCCCGATGCTGTCCAGATATGATCCATCCTTCTCGAGGATCTGGATGCGATCGTTTCCGGTATCGGCGACGTAGAGCACGTTACGCTCCGGATGAAAGGTGATTCCTTCAGGCGAGCGCAGCTGTGATTCTCCTAGACCTCTGCTGCACATGCGACGAGCGAGCTTGCCGTTGTGATTGAACACGAAGATGCAGTGCTTCCATTTATCTGCGAAAAGTTTAGTCTAGTTGTAAACAGCGCGCTCCAGGAAGCGAATGAGCGAGCTCTTGGTGAATTTCGTTTCTTCCCCGGAACGCGAATATAATTTACGTGAAATATCTGAAAAACAAATAACTGCACTAAAAAAAAATGCTTGAACGTTCATTTGTGGGGTACAGAGTTGATTTTCGTGAAACAGGGTTTATTTCTGCGAAATAAAATTTATTTCTGTGAATAAGTTTTATATTCCACAAATAAATTTTCAGGTTCATTCTTTTTTTTCAGTGCACTGCTACTCGTTAAAAATCGGACAAGTCATATTTTTCGAAAGGTGTGGAATGTTCTCGTATGCATCACGTGCATTAATATCATTGCAGAATCAAAAAGCATATCACATGCATTTCAGAGATTCAGGTGAGAGAAAAATAAGTCCATGAATTGCCATTATGAAGAGCCATGTATAATTATAAACGTGGTGATACATTTATTATTTTTCAGCCGAAACATAACTGGAGTAAAGTTCAAATATACGAAGAGAATATTATAGGTTTTTTCTTTTATAATTCTTTTCAATTTCGCTATTTTTCTAGTAATACAGAAATATATTAATAAGGTATATCTCTTCCTTTCTAAAGAATACAGTAAATTTTGGTATACTGAGAGAAAAATATGTAAAAAATAGCGAATTATTATTTGGTAGATACTAATAGTATATATTTACTTGAATCTAAATTCTCTCTTATTTAAATAGAACAAACAATTGCTTTCATGAAAAGCTAAGGTTTCTTTAAGATTTTAAAGAAAGCTTATATTTTATTATCTAAAAAATATTTTATATTAGTACAAGTAAATATATTATTAATATTCGTCGAATAAATATTGTTTATTTCTGAAATATTTTTTTCTCTCAGTATGGAAACATAGCATATTTTTAGTGACAATTATTTCCTAAAATATAAATAGCATATATGAAATGAAAAAGTAATCAATTGTTAATTCTTCGATCATAAAATCCTACAGTAATTTTCACTATAAAATTCTTTCCGTATGTTCGTTTGCATGTTCTTGACTTTTATCTCGTCATGAATGGCTTTGTCAAATAATTAGATAGCTCGTTCAATTTTGACTATTGCCCAGTTCAGATAACGATTCGACTGAGCCTGAGCTCTCTTATTGATTGCATCGTTCACTAATTTCATCTATTAAACGTCAGAACCTGTCACGTATATCTCGTCGTTCTCCTGAAGGAAGGCGACTCCTTGAGGCGCCATCATCTCTCGGTGGCGAATCCTCCGCATAAGTTTGAACTTCCTGTCGAGAATGACAACCTGTCCCGATCCCGGACAGGTCGCGATAATGTGATCCCTCCAGGAATCAACGGCGAGTGCCGACGGCCGCTGCACCATGTCACGGTTCACGATTATTTTGGGCGCGAAAGCTTTCCGCCTGTCGTACCAATTTTTACTTTTACGATCTCGCGTCGCCGCAATTTTCGTCTGATAATACATTAACGCGCCGCGCTTTTCGCACGAACCCCGACACGATTTTCAAAAATGAAAGACCTCCGCTTATCCTTCATAAATTCCACGAAACTACAAATCAGTTCGGACAGTTCGGACACAATACTGAGAAACGTCAGGAAGACGTCCAAAGGAAACTCAACTTCTCCGGACTTCTTTATAAAAACTTCTCAGCGTGTCTGGAAACTTGGTGTCGTTTAGCGAGTTGTGTAAAAAATTGTATCTCTTTGCAAAAGTACATAATCGTATTTATCATGACATCTAATTTAAAGTTTTCACTGGCAATATAATCGCAATAAGATTAAATATATGACAGAATATTGCAAATCAACGATTTTTCTCTTAACATTGACTAACGTGCTAATTATTATTAATTGCACAAAAGCCTAGCTAATATTTAAAGACAACGGAGTATTTAGAAATAATAATAATAATAATGATTTGTCCATAATAATTAGATAATTATCACAGGAATCATAATTGATAATAATTAGAAATAATTTAAAATTTATTAAAGACGATAAATTAATGTAATTCGAAATGGGTATATCTATGTATGCATGTATCTATTCATATATATCTCGATTCGTTGACTTTCTATTGACTGTGTAACTAATTTTTTAGTTAATTCGTCGCAATTAATTATATGTTCCGCGCGTTAACTTAATGAGACGCGTTGCGATACCGGTCACTGGTGGCCACTGCGGCATTCAACGTGTTAAATCTCGATTAATTTAAATAATACAACGCGACACGCTGATCACGAGAAGGCGCGCACTTACTTGTAAAGAGGACCGACGTTCTCCTTGATTATTGACCCTCCGCGTTTGTTAATCTCCGCCAAGCCCATTTCTATACCGCGCAATTTCGATTCCCAGATGGCGATCGCCGCCATTACTTCCGCGGCTTTTTGCTGCAGGTCCAAGAACACTTTCACCTGAAACAGATGCAAAATAGTTGCATAATTCGCCAGTAGAGAAGGAAAAACACCGTACGAAACACCGACGCGATTAATATTTCTGTTTTATCAATGCAAATGCACTTATTCAACGTGATTAAAGTTTTACCGGCAATTGAAGTGAGGTACGAGCAGAACGCGATATAAACGTGAACGCGGCAGCTAATTTTAATGTCGTTGATTCGATAAAACCGCGCCGTCGGTCGATTAAATGAAACGAAAACGCGATCACTTTAGTTTAACGCGAACTGCTGCGCATACGCAAATTATAATATATAATATATAAATTACCAGACAAAAGAATGTAACGATAAAATAAAATTCGGGCGAATAGCTCGTTAATTCGTAACACGCTTTACACCAATTGCTGTATATTATTCGGCCGGAAAAGCGGAAAAATGATTAACAAGCAATTCTTCGCAAAACTATAGCTATAACTATTTTCATTGCTCGTTTATCAATTATGTCAAGTGGAACAAGGCGCCCAATTATAAACTTGGTTTTCCTTGCAACCAGCATTATATTTGAACTTCTTATCGCATTTTACGATTACAAAAGGGAATATTTTAATCAACTTCTAATCGAATAAATGCCACTGGAAAAACCAAGTTTTCCTACATAGGGAAGATATTGCAGTAAAAATCACGTTAAAATTATATTTCATTTTACAAATTTTTTCTTTAACTAGATTATATTGACATTACGCAAAATAAATTACTAAATAGTAAAATATAAATTAGAAATAGTAAATTTGAACTTATTTTCTAATAATATAAAAAACGTTCGAATAATTACAATCGTTTTGCAGTAAAAATTCAGACGTACATAACATTAAAAATAAAGAGATCTATGATTTATGATATTTATATATGATATTTATGATAATTTTTATGATATTTTCTATATAATCCAAAATTACAACATTTTGTTTTGTAATTTTTATTACAATATTTTCTCCGTATAGAGTGTCAATTAATAAAATTACATTGAGAAAAAACACTTGAGAATTTATTTGCGGGATAAAAGAGTGACTATTTCATAGTGATAAACCTTATAAATAAACTTTATATTTCACAAATAAACTTTTAAATATTCTTTTCCGCGTCAACAATGAGATGTTTTATTTGATCAGCTTGTTTAACAATTATTACTTCATTGTTTCGAACAACGGATATCTGCATTGTAAAAAGTATTTTCTATTTGTGTTGAAATCAATGCGTATAGAAATTTTTGTTAAATTTCTAATATACTCGTATGTTAATTTAATACATTGTCGTTATTTTGTGACTATTCTGCGCTGAGTTCGTATTCACTATTTCTAAATGTTAAAGTGACACAACAGTGTTTAAGTGTCACATTTTTCTGTTAATTTTCGACACGTTATTCGTATCATTTGTTTACATACTTGCCCTGTGTTAAATTAACACAAAAAAATAGAATGAATAAATTGAGACACACGTGAAATGTGTCGAATTTAACACAAAATTTTTTACAGTGAGCCAATCGCCTCGGTTTCTAAGCACGGACGGGCCCTCCTCCGTTCGCGTCTCCGCGCTGATAAATCGGCGAACGAACGTTCCGAAATGAAATATGCAGAGCAATGCAGTTGACGTTCTCTGCCGCAAATCCCGCACGGTGTGCAACGACGCGTCGCTAAATTGCGGCCAATCGCCGGCATAAAGAGGAAGGAGAGAGGAAGAGAAAAGGAGAGACAGAGGAGAGGAGAACGGCGGAGCTTTGTATCCCGGTGCTTTCTGGCACTTACGGTACCCTGAAGTCGTACCACCGACGGTCACGTGCCGGAGCGTGCCGAGCCCTTTGTGCAGATTTCCGATCCCTCGGCCTGCCTTCCCCGCGCTCGCCCTGGCCGTTTGATCGTCGCCAGCAGGAGGATCGCCGCGATTCAACGTGCGAGGACACGTGTAGCAAATAGGCTTGGTGGCCCAAAGCCTGTTTACGTCGGCCGGCGATGGACCTCCGACGACGACGACGACGTCGTTTTGACCACCCCGTGCCGAAATGCCGTGTACTGACGAATAGTTCGTCGCGAATCGATTCCCTGAAGTTTCGACGACAATCGAGAGATAAGCAGGGCGAGTCAGAGTAATTCGATGAAACGTATTTCGCGGATTTGTAGGAACTTAAGCTGAAGCCGCGCTCTCGAGATTCGCTATCGGGGCGCACCGGATCCTCTTTGACGGATGTAAGAGACATTTCGCATATCCAATAAACATCAAATATCAGTAACATAACATCGATGTTACAATGTTAGTTCAATCATATAGTATGTTATGTAATGTTATATATTATAGTATGTTACGTATGTTATATATTATGTATATGTTATATAATATGTAACAATTACATAACATACCATATGATTGAGCTGACATTGTAACATCGAAATTGTAATATATTGCGTTACTGATATTTAGTGTTTACTGAGTACTTTCTATTCGTATGTTTACACGGTGAAAAATATTTTGTATTGTGTTGAAATCGATTCGCGTGTCGAAATTTCTGTGCTGAATTTTATATATTATCACTGTTATTTTGCGAAATTCCGCGTTGTATTCATATCCATTATTTCTAAATACTGAAATAATACAATTTATATGTAACAAAAATTGGTTGGAGTGAAAAATAATGATAATTTTAGTTAGATCAATAACTTTTCCTCTCAGTGTAACTCTGTTAGATTGATTCAGAAATCTTATTCCATAAAATGTAATTAATAAAATGTAATATACATAAAATATAATATTTATTTTATTTCCACATATTTATATCTAAAAAATGCTTTACTCAATTGCTTAACGCTTGTTCAAGAGAAAAGACCATATGTTTAAGGGAAAAGACTACTGCATCAATCTAATACAATTTCGCGACTAACAAGGGAACCTTGAGAACCCGAAAATTCAGATTTTAATAAAACTTTGCATACACACACACACACACACACAACATACAAATGTAGGTTAGACAAATAGATGAATTTAGATAATTTCAGTTGGTGCTAAAAAATGGTTTGAAGGAGTGAAACCCTTCAAAGATAGAGAAATTTTCAATTTTTTCAATATATTTCAAAGGATAAATTCTTAAAAATATTTTTGTTTCAAAAAATAAGTAACATAATTAAATAAAGATATTTTTACTATTACATTTTTGTATGAAACATTTTTTGATACTTCATTTAGTTTACGAAATATATTGAAAAAATCGAAAGCCTCTTTGAAGGGTCGTTTCACTTTTTCAAAACGTCTATTAGCATCAACCAAGATTTTATAAATGATTGACTTTATTTAACCTGCATTTATGCCAAGTTTTATTAAAATCAGAATTTTAACACGATAGATAATGTATTACATACGGGGGAAAAAGAATGAATTTTTAAAAATATATTTTTTTTCGAAAAATGAATGACACAGTTAAATAAAGAAAATTTTTCTATAAAACTTTTGTATAAAACATTTTTTGATATTTCATTTAATTTACGAAATATCTTTAAAAAATCGAAAATTTCTGTACCTTTGAAGGGTGGTTTCACCCCTTCAAACCGTTTTTTAGCACCAATTAAAATTATCTAAATTCATCTATTTATCTAGCCTACATTTGTGCAACGTTTCACTAAAATCTGAATTTTCGAGTTAGGTTAGGTTCCCTTGTAAATATAATTTACCATGTCCCTTACGATGAAGAGTTATTTTGCAAGTGGAGATAAGGTTTTATCTCCTTTAAAAAATGCGGACGCACATTTCTCTCATGCGATATTTATTTTCGTGCCACGTGTATTCGTCAGATCATTTATAAACGTGCGTCTCGACGGTGGCTTCAAAGCACGGCGCGAAGCCCGTCTTCGTCCTTTTTTCGCGACACTTAGGTGCGCCGATACGTTTCATGCCAATCAGGTGGACAGTGGAAGCGCGTGCCGATAAAATGGTCACCCAAGAATCGACATTCCTGTCCGACGACAACATAGGAGAGGGGGAAAGGGGGTGCGTTCTGTGAGAACAGATGACGATGTAAACCGTGAATCGTCTACGGTGAAACGAGGACGATTCGAGGGGAAAAGACAATGGTAAAGGACGAAGCAATTAAGAGATCCTAATGAGCCGGGTTCGGGAGAGATTTGGCGATGTTGATCAATCAGTCGGCCGCGTTTACGAGACAATTACGACGAATCGATGCGCTATCGCAATTAAATAAGCGATGCTAGTGGCTCTAATAAAACATTGTAGAGGTAAACAGAAGAAACGCACATTGCTCGAGTAATTTTGCGAAGCGATTAACGACTATAAAAATTTCTATACGTGGAGAATGTTATAGTAGAAATTAGTGTAGAATTTTGTAACCCACGAATTGATCGACATTCTGTCGTAATTGATTATTATTTCATCTCGTTTATGCTACTTATATTTTAGAAACTGGAATGTATGATATTTCTAGCAAAATTTACTATATTTTTGGCAAAATTTACCATGTTCCTTAGCAAGATCGACAAGATCAGCTTACTATCTATTCCTACCAAAATATATCTATACTATCAAAATATAATAAAATTGAGAAGAATTGATATATGAAGAGAGACTATAACATTCTCTTTTAGTGTACATAAAAGTTTTGAATAAAATACCTCCAAATTTCTAAAATATTTCCCAAAATATCTTAAGATTTTTTAATTCACTTTCTTTCTACGATATCACGATGTGATTGATTGATACAATAATTTTGCTTATTGTTACAATACAGTAGCGAGAATAAAAGTATAATTTGTCCACAAAGACACGAAGAGAATTTTATAATAAAAATTAATATGGAATTTTTGTAAAGACTAGATCGACTTCCTGCAATAATTTGCAATAATTTATATATATATTTCACATATATTATATTATATTTTAGAAACTCTAAAATATGTTATTAAAAAGTTACATTAAATTGCTGTTAGTTTGTGAGAAATAATTGCAGTGTTCCTATAG